TACCGCTGCCAGTACTCGTGGAGCGGTGCCACCTTCCCAGACGCGTTTCGGCCCTTGAGCCGTCGGCGCATGAACGGCCCCTCGGTACTGAGCAGGGTGGCGAATGCCAACAGCGATTCTCTTAAAGTATTTCAGCACCAGACCACAACTTTTCGTGACAGCGAGCCCACCGTGGTGTCTGTATGCGTGATAGAATGTATAATATGAGGGAACTTTATGTTTTTGAAAGGACATTGTTTTATATATATAAAAAACTGAATGTGATATAAAACTTCTACAGAATATGAGAATGCATTGGACCTTGTGTCTATAAACAGACATTCGCTAAGCTTTCTAACAGCGGTGAACAATGCCCTTGCCGGACACGAGTACCATTTGCCACCCATCGTGGTACCGGCCACGCCACTTGGCTCACGGGGCCACTCGCTCCGAGGCCACGGAGACCCAAATAAATGACTCGACACCCCAATCAGGGCTGGCAACGCCGGGGCCCACGGAGATTATCTCTGCCGCGATGATAACGGTGATATACCACAGAGGTAACGCTTCATTTTACTCACCGTGTCTGCTCGTGTATGCCCCTGGGGCATCTTGAGGCTCTCTGTAATTACGTGATGGATGGCTGCAGGGTGGGGTTTGTTGGGCCTCTTTTTTAACACACATGATTGATGCCTCCGGGGCATTGGCTGTGCTAGGTGGAGGCTCGCATTGAGTGGCTTCAAGGCTTCAATTTAGGCCAGCCCCTCAATCACAGCCTCCCGCGCTCTGTGTGTGTTTTATGCAGATGGCGGGATCTTGCCTCGGGGTGTTTAAATACATATGCATGCAGATTTGTAAGCTCCTCGCGCGCACAAACATGCGGGTTGCTCGAGTACATTTTAATGCGCAGATTCGTTAAAAATGACGCACGTTATTATTTCGCTATTTTGCTCAAATATCGCAATTGAAACACAAGATGCGGAAGTCGTAGCATACATTTGACGCGTCGGCTTTCACCGACCAAAGTTATGATTCATAATTGGTTTGTTTGGGTGAGGTCGTTTGTGCCATGAAGCCTCCTCCACTCGACATAGACCTGATCTCCTGCTATATTGATGTTGCACCAGTTTCACACCGTACGTAGCCAACCGCGCTAATCGGAGGCGTGGGGGGAAGGACAACAAACTAAACACAACAAAAAGAGTTCTCAAGAAATTCGTTTTCAATTTATATTTAAAAGTGCATAGCTCCAGTGGCGTCCTAATATCGGAAGGAAGAGCGTAGAAGCGCATCTGAAAGCGATTCTGCTGCGAGGATGACCGCAGTTTGCGTGATGATGTATGCTCCTTGACGAGACCAGCGAGGTATTGTGGTTCATTTACGGCAAGCACTTTGTGCGTAATGAGTGCGACCTCAATGTATTCCTTCTACAACGTGAAGCCAATGCAGCGTGGCGAGCATCAGACCGGCATGTTAACAGCCTGATGATGCTGGTTGCAATCCACAGCGAAACATCGCACCCATGTAAACGTCGTTATATTACTCTCTATCAGCAACACCGGTAGGGGCTGAAGCAGTCACGCGTTTGGCACGTTTGATTGGCTACGTGCGGTGGTGGAGGGTTCAACGATACACATTTTTACAAGGTCTAACCCAAAATAAAACAACGATGAATCATACCGTAAATGTTTATTCCTCATTCGTTGTAATGCACGGGACAGTTGTTTTGGGAAATTTGAAGGCATCTGCGAGCTTGGGTCGGTCTGGAAAATGTCTTTAAAGGTCGGTGTAATGATTCCCTGTGGCTTGTTCTGAAAATAGAACGCGTGTGGTCGAGCGGTAACCACAGCTCAAGTGTGCCTTGACCTCTCCCAAAATCTCCTTTTGGCCAGGTTGCTTTGGCAGTGCCGCATAATCCTTTATTTGTCGTGCGGTTGTGGTGTTACACGCTCCACATATGCCCACCTATAATAGGATACGGCATTGAGACGTGTATTCATGTATAATAATCACAGTCATGGTCACCTTTATTTTACACCGGGAAAGCCTCGGTGAGTCTCAAGATACTTTTTCAGCAGGGTTCCTAATTGGGATGTTTGACAAATTCAATCAATGAACATTTCGCTTCATGTGGGACGGGATAACGTTCTAAACTCTGCACACATTCAAGAATCCTGTGGTGTGCTTGCCATTTTCTGGTATTGGTTGGACCATTCAGAGTAATATTATTACTTCACTCGCTTGGGTAGAGACACCCTTTAGCAAGAGAAATCGGTCGATAATTGAAAAAGTTAAAGTATTCCAACTAAACCGTGGTGCCAATTAAAGACTTGCACTGAATGGGAAAATAATCCTACTCAGACACCCTGATGGGAAAAGGTGCAGCCTCGCAAATCAGTCGTTGTGATAAACGGGCGTCGCTCAGAAAACACAACACGTGCTTTGTTTATTTTTCTGTATTGTTGCATAAATCAATTACTCTGTTTAGAAAAAAAAGCCCATCGTGCATTTAAATGTTGCGCAGTTGCCCACGACGTGTAGAGGCACATCGACGCTTTTCTTCGTAAGACGCGAGCTGGGCGGCACCGAGAACCTCGTGAACGCTTCATCTCATTGTTTGTCGTCCTTACCCGCACCTCCCATTAGCTCGGTCGGCTACGTACGGTGCTAAGGAAGTTCAACCTAACCTACAGACACACACACACACATCTCTCCGAGGCGGAGCTCCTGCAGGCGCCGATAGCGAGAGCAAGGCCCATCGCGTAACGGGGTCTCCGTCCTCGTGGTCGCAACGTTTGCCTTTGCTTCTCGTGATGTTGAAAGTCCAAATTGTGGGGCCGGCTTCGTTTCCATTCCAGCGCTCAAGAGGCGCCCCAGAATAATTTGGCGTCGCGGCGGCGGCGGCGGCGGCGTCGTCGTCGTCCAGCGCGCCCGGCGGACGCGCGAGAGCGAGCGAGCGGAATTGGCCGCTGCGATGCGTCGCACAGCTTCTGGGACGGCGTCGACGACGACGACGACGCCGATGGGAGTCGCGCCGGGGTGAAGTTGCGCCGGGGTGAAGTTCGCCAGGCGCCACCGCCGCCGTGCCCCCCCAGGGTCGCGTTTCGCGTGGGATGCGGATTTAGGGGGTGGGCTGCGCACCGGGGCTAAAATCGTCAGAGGTGGTCGTTTCCGTATTGTATGGAGAGAATGCCCCCCGCCATAGGAATGTGGAAATTTCAGGACTTTCCTAGGTCCACCAGGAGAGATTATTATTACGACTATGGCTATGTTTATTTACTCAGGAAAGTCTCAGAGTTTCAGTGTTCAGGAGGTTCCTCCCAAGTGGTACCATTCCAGGGCGTTATAGGTGTGCCTTTGTGCAACTCCTGTTGAGAGATATGGAGGTAATTTCTCAGCAGTGGGATATTTGGTCAATAGCGGTTACATTGTGCGGTATTTTCGCTGTGGGAGGAAAAATGCGAAGCTGGAGGAAATCCCTGCAGAGCAGCGGGGAGAACTTACAACGTCCCACACAGAAAAGCACCCAAGGGGGGAATCTAACCCAGGCCCTTGTTGCTGTGAGGCACGAGTGCAGCCCTTGGGAATTGATTTCAGGGTAGTGTTGCTGCAGAATTTGTCCCCCTGTATACCCCTTGCTCTGTGAGCTTTCATCATGATCAACCGTGATTCATCTACTGCTGGATGAAGGCCACCCCATTCGCTGCCATCCCACAATGCAACAATCCAACGCCAGCACCTTCGCGCAAGCCGATCCCGTCGCTCCGTCTCCGCAGTGGAGGTCCCACGTGGGCGACGCTCGTTGGTGATTCTCACCCATCGTCAACGTAGCGAGATGATTGCAGTCCAAAGCCCATCTACTTCACCAGTATCAACAAAGCGGTCGAGTGAACGCACGCACGCACGCGTGTATATGCATGAGAACCACCTCGTGGTCGTTTGATGTTCCAGGCTCAGCAGAGTATTCTGTACACGAACCGAAACCGAAACTTTGCCAACAGCACGCGTGTTGGCAGGAGGCACGCGGCGCGTTGACGTTCACGTCGGCACGTGGCGCGATGTGAAAACAGCGCAGGAAACCGGGCTGCGACCCTCCCTGGCGCAACACCCCCCTCTCATTTCCTCCCGACAAAATGCCCCACCCCCTCCCCCCCCCCCATTGCCCCCCTCTCCCCCCGCCGCCCCTCCACTAGCTACCACCCCAACCAACTCGCCACCCCAGACATCAGATCCAGACAAGACGGAAGTCGCCCACAATGACACACTTCCACGTTTTGAACGTACGCAGAAAATCAGGATTCCACCTGCATCTTTATCTGCTGCTGCTGCTGCTCATTTGTTTCGAATTTCGGACATGAGAGGATTACTTTAATTTTGTTTGGATTTCCGAGCATTCATGAGAAATGGCTTGGTGGGAGTGGAGGATGCAGAGGTGAGTTTACTGCGCTATGAACCTGTACATCTGAGACTGGCTCTTGGCCACAGCCAACATCAGTGGCAAATAAAAAAAATCTCTCCTCCCCGCCATCCCCCACATTCACTATTCCGTACTGACCAGCGTGGTGAAGTATGGTCAGACAAGCCCCCTGTAACCGACACGCCCCCGTGGGGGAGTCCTTCATGCAGCGACGTGTCGACAAAGGCCTTGGGGAAAATGAAAACGTTACATTCGGGGTAATACATTGCATTGCAAAACCAAATTGTAGCAATTCATCAGGATCGCTCGTCGCGTTGTTCCGTGGCGGGCGGTTTGGGTGGGTCGTGCTCTGCGTCGCGTTGGCGGCCCTTTATCTCCCCTCTCCCCAGGGTGCGGGTGTTACACTCCTTCTCCTGCCGCTGCTTATCCCGACAAGCACGGATTCCGAATTCCGCGCTCAATTACCCCGCGCGCCGCGCGAAGTCTCCGCTGCGGTTCCGCCGCGTGGGACCAAGGCTCCGCCACGGGGTCTGTGAGCGAGCGCCCAACTGCGGGGGGACCCCGTCCCCACCCCGGGTTCGCCCCCCCCCCCCCCCATCGCGACCATTGTCGATTGCGGCGTACAAAGTGACGGCCTCGTTTAAGCAGGTAAACGAATTCGGCGTGATTGGGGCCGTAATTCGCTTTAGGTCGTCTCTACAAGAGAAGGGAATCCATCCTTCACGGCGTTAATTTCCGCGCAGATTGAGTGGGGAGCGCGTTTGCGCGTCGCCGACGATGCCTTTTAAGGGCCTCTTGTCAACGGGACGAACGCCGCCACGCTCTCCGCGTTATCCATTTAAACGATCGGCATAAAATATATTTTACAAATTAAGTTTCCAAATGTCCTATCATTATACTCAAGCCATTGGCTCGCCTTGAATCCGACTGGAAAGACAAAAGCTCTCTCGAACCGGCACGAGCGTCAAGAGGTCCCGTAACTCGTTACTTTTCCGTGCTCGTATTTCCAACGGTGGCATTTTCTCTCTCGTTTCATGGTAGCAGCACAACAACATTTCCCAATACATCCTTCATCGCAGGGTCGTAAGAGATGGCTTGGGGAGACCTTCACCCAGCAGTGGATTTGCCATGCCTGATGGTGATGATGATCAGCGGTGGAGGCTCGGGGAGGCGTTTATCCAGCAGTGGATTGACCATGACTAATGACGATGTGTCGAGGCAAGCGTTTGCAGTGTTACACGCGCGTGAGCAACTCGCCGCACTGCACAGCTTCGGAAAGAGTATCTTGAAAACGAGTTGAAGGAAGATGCAAGTGACATTCATGTTCTTGTTGCACAGCGCACCACACAGGTTGTGTCTCGCCTGAGCCGCCCCGCGTCAGCCCGAGGCTCCGTGGCCGCTGAGCCACTTGGAGGCGGCTCTCGGCTCGTGCTGCGCTGACGCCACCTTCACGACTGCCCCGCTCGCTAATCGAGCGTCACTGCAGCGCTCCGAACCGCGACTTTACACGCTGCTTTTTGAACGCGTTCCAACTAAAGGTTGAAAGCACTAATTCATCAGCGCTGTCCGTTTATCTGCTCGTTTGTCTGTGTCTGCCTGTACATGGGTCTGTTCGCCTGTCTTGTCCGTCCGTCTGTGGTCGTTGAGGGGGGGGGGGGGTCACGATCATCCTCCACGCTTCTTCGCTCATGCCCGTACTTCTGATCCACGTGTCCCAGCCGGTATTGTAACTCCTGCAGACAGACCTGTTAAGAGGAGAGCGCATTTTGTCTTACTCTTTTCTCGTGAAACTCGGCCGCGGGCTGCCGAGAGACCAGCGCGCGTGGGAGACACACACAGTCAATGTTTGTATCTACAAGCAGCTGTTTGTTTCTTGTGTAGTGTCTGGTCTTAGGTGCAAGCGTTATCTCGACGCAGCGGCCTTGCTATGAGGCTGGAGATGAAAAGCTCAGCAAATCGAGCTGCCGCCACACGCTGTCTCTGTCTCGATGTTTGTGGCTGAGGTTTTTTTTAATCTTCCCCAAAGGGAAGGCAACCAACGAAGACCCGGCCACAGGGGATGGATGTTCTCGAGGCTCGACCGCTCGTCCCAGCCGTCTCATTTGTGGTGACCTTGATCAAAGTACGTGGAGAGGGGCCCCCGCTACTACGAATACCGACTGGTGGGCGTCTACGAAATTTACCGCGACGGAAATCATTCCGTGCTTTTACTCACACGGCTCGGCGCAGCTCTCTTAATTTGTTATCTTACTGAGAGCAAAAGATAAAATGAACAGTCCACTGTGGCTGTTTTTTTGTGGGTGAATATATTTGTTATTTGTCTAAACTGTGGAAGAGCGGTGTGGCGCAGTGGTGGTTGGCGCTCTGCGGCGTGAAATTTGGACCCGAGTTCGAGTCCTAACCAGGGCTAACATCCGCGGTGAGCGACGGCTGAGCCGGGTGGCACCGTGTGCCTCCCCCTTACCGAGCCGTGCTGGCTCGCGTGGTGGAGTTGATTGTTCACCGGAAACATTTTAATTTCTGTAATATTCGGTGATAAATCCCAAATGCCATCCGATGGCTTTTGTGCATTGGAGACTGGGCTACTTGAGAACGGGGCACGATCGGCGGTGGCTGGGACCCAGCATTAGTGGCTCCGTGAGCCGCCCAGCCACCTTCTGTTTTGTATATATTTACACTTTTTTTATCATGCTGCAATTGTGAGTAATAAACAAAAAAGAAGGAAGATGTGCGATGGTCCCCACGGAATTTTAAAAGTACATTAGTCGAGTGTTCTCACGTGATTATGTGGATATGCGGTGGCCTTGCCCCATCGCGCGCGTGCCCAGAGCGTTCTCCCGCACGCGTGAAAACGCTCGCGCGCTCGTTTGAGTGAATAATTGAGCACAAGTGTGGATGGCAACGTACAGCGTCATCGTGGTGGTGGTGGCCGAACAATTACACCCTCCTCCCTAACTACCTAAAAAAAATCCTGTCTAATGCTGCAAAAGCTTAGAGCCTTGGCCTGCTACGTGGAATGCGAGTGCATTGTGTCGTTGGCTGGGATGCAAGGCTGCAGTCACTTTTAACGCGCTGCCATCGCTCTCGCGCTGGCACCGTGCCCAGTGATTAATACCCCTCGAGGTGGGTGCCACATGTCTCTCACGCTGCGTGGCACTCTGCATAATCAAATCCGGCACGTTTCCCCCCTCTCGCGTGTGCAATCTTTTATTTTTGTTGTCCTCAAATAACATTTTCCCAGATCTGGCAAATTTCACGATTTTTTTCCTCTCCCTCGCAGCCTGAACATGTGTGTGTGTGGGGGTGGGAGCGGTGGCGCGGTGGTTAGCACGCTACGCTACAAACCCGGCGACCCGAATTCGATTCCTGCTCACGACCCAGTGGCGAATATTTGAACCGTTCCCTAGGCCTCCCTAGGTCGACTCAGCCTCAAATGAGTACTTAGTTGCGGTGCGTAAACACCGCCACTCGGGAGACAAAGTCGGCCGGCCATGGTGGGTGCTTGCCACCCACCCCCGTGTGTGCTATGTCGGCCTTCATCCGTGATCGCTGCTCGATGAAGTCTTCCCGACGTCGTTACGATCTCCAGCGATTCTGCGATGTGATAGAGTATACCAATTTGTGGTCCCCCTACGCAAACCACTGCGGAGAGTAATTGCACAAAGTAGGGCCATCTCGTTTCTATTTCAATAGTTGACAACATTAATTGAGAAATGCCGCAAGACACGTGGTGATTCTCGAGCGTGAGTTTTTTGTTGTTGTATAATCGGCTGGGTAAATGATGTCGGTGTGTGTGGTAGGAATTGTGCAGAAGGATAGGGAGTAAGCAACTTGGAAGTTCTGAATAAACACATTGCAGACGTCGTTAGCACAAAACGAGATTGCGATGGGTGGGACACGAGCGCCGGGTGGAGGAGGTCAGGGGTCACCGAGAGGGGAATTGGAGCGGCGCGCGGAGGTTGATGCCTGAGAAGAAGCCCTCGAACCCTCAGGGAGTCACTTGCAGGGAGCTCAGATGTAACTCCGTGATATCCGCTTCCGTGCGCCGTTCTCTAACAGGAAGGGTCGCGCCGCTCTGCGAGAGATTCGAATGGGTTCTTCGTCTCACGAATGACGTCCGCAGCGCAGGAAATAGATTTGAAAAAAATAATAATAATGAGAGCAATAAAAGTAAACCTTAGAGCTTGGGTGTCAACGGTGCGACGCTTGCAGAAGATCTAGCGGAAGGAAGGAACGGAGCAATGCCGAGTTGTGGTGGCATCAGTGACATTAATGACGTGCCGACCCACTCACCGTGACCTAATTTATACTTCTGCAAACAAACTTGGCAAAATACTCTCTCTGCGTAGCAAACGTCGGGTCTGGTGAGAGAGGAAGAGAGGGAGAGCGAGAGAAACCTGTAATTCCCAGTCATTTGGTAAAGGTCACGCTTACACCATTAGCAGTGTCGCAGCGAGAGATTAAGAGTTTTATCAGCTGTGCAGACAAAAAAAACCTACCAATTACATCGCTTTATTTGGGTGAAACGGCTCCCATCCGCACGCTCGGGTCAAGCGGCTCCCCCCGATATCTTTTGATTTTAGTTATTCCCCTTATTATTTTCGCGACCGAAATGATTCGGAGACGCCGTGAAATAAAATTGTAAAAAAAAAACATTCCGCGTAATTTCCGTGAACCGTAGAGCGTTCACGCCGGCGGTGGAGCGGCATTAAAATTTAAACAGTTCCCGAATTTGAAAGGCACCGTGATCGCACGCGTCTGGAAAGGCCGCGCGAGCACGTGGCTCGTGTTCCATACCGCGAGCCTTGCCAAATTAAAATCCACCGTGCCATCCACACACAAAGTCGCGCCATGCACATCTACACTTTATGCACAGCTACAAGCATTTACCATTGTAACCGCGTGGCGTTCAACGCTTTGACACTGTTACCCCGTTGTAAAAAAATGTTTGCGGCGTTTTAAAGACGATCATGGCATACATCGACTTCAACTGTGACGACTGTATATTTTTGTTCGGCTTGAAGTTCCCTTTTTTTTAATTCGCCCCTCTCCCCGAAGCTCTCGCTCCTAACTCGCACGGCCCCCTCGAGAGACCCCGCAAGACGAGCACCACGCTCCTTGAATGTCCTCGCCGTGCCATCAGGCGACGGCGGCGGCAACGGAGGAAGCGGAAGCCACCATATGCCTCCGGAGCTCCCGTCGGGTTTCGTTAAACATTTCCTTTTTTTAGAGGAACGTTGTTTAATACATTGAGCAGCGCACTTGGCAATTCCGTAATATGTCAGCAGATGTGTTTTGGTTTCGTGCAAACGTCGGTGACGAACCGCCGTCCCGCCCGCACTGCGAGCGAGAGCCGCGCGGAGCGGCTCGCTTGCTGCCGCGTCGCTTGATTGATGTGATGTGTAAAACCGAAGTGCCTGAAATATTTAGTGGCACGTGCGTTGAACAAAGCCGAATTGTAGAGCCAGTGTGTCACGTGCATATGCACGTGTCGGGCAAAGAGAATCACAAACTAGATTTTCTTCTCTCTCTCTCTCTCCAAGAGGGAGAATAAATCCTGTTGCTTTCCAATAATGACTTGTGTGTTGATATATTGTACAACACGTGTGCGTAGGTGTGTTGAACTTCTTTCACACCGTACGTAGCCAACTGTGCAAACGGAACACAAAAATCAGTTCTAAAGAATTGAAATCACACAAAGCTGGAGAAGAAGAAAGTGATTTATGACTTGGGCTTGGGCAGGACGCATCACACGGCTGTAGGGCACGATGGACGATGGCCCAGACTCGTAACGGAGTGGCAGTCAGGGAATGAAACGCGTGCGAGAGGTGGAACCAGCTGATGGTGGGCATCAGGTGCCGGGTGGATTATTCCATTGCGGGACCAGTGAGAGGGGAGGAGACCTTCATCCAGCAGTTGATTGACGATGGCTGATAAAGAATAATTATAAATCTTCTTTGGTTCTTTCGGTAAAAATCACGTAGAATGAGAATAAAATAATAAAATAAAACAATAAAATTCTCACGACGTTTCGGCCACAACACAAATAATTATAAATTAAACCCTTAAACAGAGTTATCTTAAATACAGCTGCAAAATAGTGCACTGCTGTGCGTGTGTTGACAATCTCACACTCAGCGCGTATGCCTCTCATCCAGAAACTGGGAAGCCGTGGACGTTCACTCAAGGTCAGATTAAAGTCGGAAGGTCATCACGGTCTAGCCAATGCGGCTGGTGCCACCATACCTAGCCTGGCTAGGTCAGGGCTTTAAGACCTAGAATTGTGGATAGGGTTTGTGTTAAGACAGCTCAGGCTAAGAGGAAGGGTGCGTGTAACTGCAATGAGTTTTTGTATTGTATAATTATAGAGGGTGTACATGCAAACCTCGTGGCAAGGCGGGCTCAGGCATGCCGGGGGCAGGGTCAAGGTCACAGCGAGCGAGGGCTCGAGATAGCGTGAGGGCAGGGCATGTTGGGCGCATGGATTAGGGCTTGAGCTAAGGGAGGGCGTGCTGAGGATCTCCTTCTGGCCCTGGGCGACTCCAGCAATGGGGGGAGTTGGGGGGAGGCCTTGAAGCCTTTGTGCCATGGCTTCGGGGAGAGCCGGGTCCTATTGAATGGCGTATCTGATGTGATGGATAATCCTGTCTTGCCAGTAATGTGGATGCGATGCCAGAAATAATATACAGAACTTAACACGGGCTGTCGGGCACACGGCCCTCTTTGTATCTCTACACAGGGTGTGTTCATGTGGCCGCGCGGAACTCCATTTACAAAGAAGCTCTCTTATGATTTTGCTTGAGCAGACGGTGTCGTTGCCAAGTATCAGCCAATTTGGCGATGGAATCAGTAGGAATACGTCTTCCACGAAAAGTCGGCAGATGGGACCCAGGTTTACAAAGGACCTCGTGGTTCATTGATGACGTTCCAAAAAATGCCACGCATAGACTGCAGCAGAGGCTTGAGCAGTGCCACGTGTGTTACAGGCGTGTGTGTGCACACGTGGACTACAAACGTCCATGTGTGTACACGCACGTGTGAGCGTACTGTACAAGTGGAATCGCCGTTTAGCACTAACATTTGTTTACTGACAGGAATGATCTGGTGCTTTGCCCCTGTCTCCAGGTCTCCGGTGTTCACCTCTCCTTGGCAGACGGCAGATGAGCCTGCCGCTCACAGGGGGTGGCTACTTCCTCCGAGCTCTGAGGCTCCGCAGCAGTGGGGGGGGGGGGGGGGGGGGGGGGCAGCCACGCCGTGACTCGCGACGTTGCTGGACCGAGGAGCTCCCCAACCCCTCGCCCGACGGGCACGCGATAAATTCATGCGACTCGGCAGGCGGGGACGTTCCGCTCGAACGCAAACATTTGATCCCTGCGCCCGACTGTGTGCGTGGTTGTTTGTTTGTTGTGCTCCCTCCCGATGAAGGCGCGCATCTTCTTATCATTGGAAGCGCATTTGCATGCAACGAGAATAATTTGTGGCGCGGGACTGTTGCTCCGCCGGCTTACAAATTCTTCCTTGCAGAATTTAATTGGCCGCTTCTGAGTTTCCGACCTGCGCCGCAAAAAAAAAAGCCCGGTGCCAGTAGAAAGAAGAAATAAACGGCCGCATAATTAACTGTCAAGCATCATGAAGACCCAGAAAGACGCACGGGGACTTTCATTTCATTATTTTTTTCTCTTCTCTCCCCACAATCCGAGTTTAACGATGCCGTTTTTACGCAGCAGCGATGGGAATATAAAAAAAACGTCCGCTCCTGCACGTGCACACCGAGCGCTAGGGACCAACCGCCCCCCCCCCCCACCGACTCATTCTCAAGCCCCCCCCCCAAATACTCTCTACTCACCAACCCTAAAGGTTTCAGCCCCCCCCACCCCACCTCCGTCTCCACTCACTATCCCCCTGTGGCCTCCCGCCATCGGGGGAATGGGCTTTTCAGGAGCAGACGTGCGATAAAACCAATTTTAAATGTGTTGATTAATCGGCGGGCGGAATTATGCGACGTATCCGTGGCGAGCCGTTTTATGAAGTCGTTAGTGAGGGTGCGAGAGCGCAGCGTTTGGCCAGGGCCAACCAGATGCCATGGTGGCTATGAGATGTTAACTCCCTCCCCTGGTATGCAGGAGGTCGTGGGTTCGATACCGACCATGACGCCTGCTGTATATTTGGAGTTTACGTGTCTCTCTCCCCGTGGTCGCGTGGATTTTCCTCTGGGTCCTCCGGTTTTCCCCCTCCATATTTAGAATCAACATCACGCGTTTACATTATTTGGCTGCTATAAATTTCCACGTGATGATAAGCCACTTCGTTGAGGTGTCATTTGTGATCAGCAGGTCGCTTTTTGAAAAAGAGCTATAGTATAGCTCGGTGGGCCTTAACTGGTAAAATACAAAATACATCGTTTTTAGTTTAGATGCCACGCGGAGTGTGGTGGCCTCAGTGCGCTGTGCTGCCACGGTTTCCGTGCGTCGACTTCTCCTTATGACGGCTCTTCTCTCTCTTATTTTATTTTTTATATATTTTTTTTCTCCACGAGTTGAGTGAATTAGCCTTGGCTGCACAATAAGGCCAGGCCGTCAGAGTTTAATTCATGCCGGGGGCACTTGAGAATGGCATTGGTTGGTCTAAACCTGATATCCAACTGCTCGTGAGTTTAAATTATGCCTAATCGCATCACCATATCGTAATTGCCTTTCTCAAGTAAAAAAAAAAAATACGTCCTTACATTTTCAGGGTCACAAGTGTATGGCCTCTGTTCTGTAACCAGGAGATCACATCATTTTATTAATCCAGAAATAGTGCTTGCGGTCGAAATAACATATTCAAACGTGTCCATATTGCACGCACAGGAATAGAAAGACCCCCGCGTAGCCCTTTTAGATTGAGTGTTGGGGCGAGTGGCGTTAGCGGGTGCCTATGACGGCATCGGCAAGGCACACGAGGGGTTGGTGTGAACATCACCTCGATCGGCCGCCTTTGTCTCACTCGTGCCTATGTTTAGACACTGCACCAGATACTCCACGCACGTACATATTTACGCGCTCATGCACGCACGCCGTGCAGACACAGGAATCAAATGAAAAATTATCATATATTTCCTCGCGGCAATGAACAGATCATTAATAGTTTGCTTTGTGTAATATATGCGCGACACTTGTGGGTGTGTATAATATGCGCCATGTGTCCATTAGGAAGCGTGGGGTTGTTGTTTTTTTTGTTGCTGTGTTAGCAGACGTAGCGCACTGTTTACAAAACGCCCATTACGATAATTTTCGAGGGGTTGTTTTCAAGGACTCAACAAGGGCCAGCAAGGAGAAATCTGCAAAGATTCATGACTTGCGCTTATTTTCTCCCATGTCGGCGTGCGTAGCGCTAATACGCGCGCGCACGGCGCCTGCCTGTTAAAATCTACTCTGGGTGTTTTCCTTGAGCAGGACTTAGCGAGCTCGTTAACCTATTATTTATTTATGTATTTCAGCAGCATAAATTCCCTACCCGTTCCTTCTGTATGGGATAGAGTGTTTCCCCCTCGCATGTGTGAGTTGTTTGTGGGATGCTCTGATTTTTTCACACATGTAGAAAAAAAACTATTTATGAATTGACCGATGACATCTTGATATATAAAGGACTGCAGAGCTTTGGTAATCGTTGGCACCGGCTCACCTCGTGCTTCCTTGCAGCTGCTCGTCTGCGGTTCTTCGTCGTCGCTCCACTGAGTCGTTCTCTCTCTACGAGAGTGAGCGGACCACTGTGCGCGACGATACGAGTTGAATGATTACATATATAGAATAATTTGATCAATTAAAATCATTTCCTTGTGCTGCCGCGTTGTTGGCAGTGGCCCAAGAGCACAAATAACAGAAACTCAACGCGTTTGTCAATGACGCCGTGGCCCTGAGAGGACATTTGGAGTGTAGGCATTGCTTCGGGCAGAAGGGACATTGCCCCTAAACGTCACCTCTCATATGTTGCTTTCGGATTAGGTCACAGTGCGATAGCCGAATACATAGACGCGTCGCAGATAAATACCACCTGCATGTGCGATGGGAGTTGTTGCTCCGCATCTACATCACCCGTACGAAAGAAGAAGAAGAAGATTGCTTAATGTCATTGTCGCAGAGCATCAGGGGTCATCAATTCATCGTACCAGGGACCGGATGCGAACTGACAACGCCGCAAGGCAGAGGCGAGATGCAGCGCGCGTGTGTACAGGGCGGTCTCAGCGCTGGGCTCGCGGCCCAGTAGCAGCAGCAGCAACAACAGCAGCAGCGAGGAGGGAGTTCGCTCCTCGGCGCTGCTCGTAAATACGCCTCTGCTGCTGTAATCGCTGGTTCGCCAATGACCCATCTGTGCCTCAGGGCGGATACAGAATGTGCTCATTAAAGGACTCGGTTTTAAAAGTTAAACAGGCCGTACGCTACAGAATCACCGAATTGCACGCATTTATTTTTAAAATCGCGAAAACTTAGTTTAAAAAAAATATCTCTTTAAAAATGCCGGCAAACTGAATGACGGATGGTTGTTGTGTGTGCAACGCATGACAAATGTTCACGCCAAGCCTCATATTTCCTAGCCTTCGCGAACGGTGTTTCTTGATGTTGCGTTGTAAGTCGATAGAATTGGCAGGCGATGCGTAATCCATAGCACGGCTTGCATGTGGGGCAGTGATTGATATAAAAATAGTGCAATGAATATTAGATTAGACGAACTTTAAAATAAACATTTGTTTAGCGAAGGAAAAATTAAGCGATTGAGGTGGCCAAACTGATTTGACTAAAAACAAAACCCCGCAGCCTCTAACGGAGATGGTGACGATAATGATCTCTTATCACACGCACACACGTATACACTTAAATATGTATACACGAGTAAAATTAAACGTTTCACAAAGCTAATCGAGAATCAAATAATGGTCAATTCATAGGCCAGTAAGCCACGAGTGGCAGGCGGCTTCAGACGAAGGCTTTCTGCCAAAGTGACCGCTGCTCAAATGAGCCTCGAGGCGGCGCTTATCTCCGGTTTACAGGCCAGAGCCGGTGGCGGAAACTCCACATTCCTATGGTGCCACGAGTGTCTGCAGAGGGCAACCACTGTCGACTTCCCGACACATCGGTGCTGATTGTATAGACCCTGTAGGGATGATGGGTGGAGTCAACCCCGTCCGACCAGGAAGGGAACCTTGCGGAGACGTGTAGAAGGCATACCAGCTGTCAGTCGTATCCCAGCAAAGAAACAGAGATATGAAACGAACCTCGTGGAATTCTCTCCTTCAATAGACATCAAAGCTATCTTTGTGTACATTTTTGATCATCAACGGTGAAGTGTTTGGATGTATTCCTGTCCACAGTCATTTACTGAAACTGGTAGTGGTCATTCCACGTAAATAGCCAGGCGTAGTGTGGCTATTACCGCCGTTTCACCAGCCTTACAAAACCATTAGTAGGTGCTCACTAATAGCATATTGTTTTCCTTCTAAACTGAACTTTGTATTTTATATTACAAGTTAAGGAACGCTGAACTATGCAGCTCTTTTTCAGAAACGACCTGGTCACAAATTGTAGTTCAACGAAGTGAAGGGAAAAACCGGAGGACCCAGAGATCGCGTAAACTTGCAAACTCAAAATATCCATCAGCAGCAGCAGGCGTCAGAGTCGGGATGGAACCCACGACCTCCTGCATACCAGTCGAGGTAGTGAACATCTCGCCACCGTGACACCCCAATTACTTTATGAAATGTATCTGAAGAGGCGATTGCAGAGAGGTATTAATTTTCTACAAATCAGAACTCTCAGCCTTGTTCACAGAAGATTTAAACAGTGGCCTTCTCTTGAATAAGCCACCTCAACTATTGATTACAGCTAACCATTGCAATAATTTGCAAAATGTAATCGGGTATTGTATTTAAAAAAAATACAATCCAACTCGATGCTGATTGATGACATTCGCAGAGTCCGTTTTTTAATCGTCATGTTTCGGTAAACAAATAATCACGCCTCGCTTGTTGAAGGTGAGAACCTTAAAGGCAGCGTGTGCGCGAGGGGCTCGCGTGAAACAATAACTACGCACATGTTTATTTTTACTGCGAATTAATACCTGTCCCGTTTATCACCGGTGACATTCACAACCGGTTCAATACAGCGAGGACCAAGAACATTCGTCTCTCATCGACATTCTCGCGCGTGTGCACGTACGCGTGTGGGCATGTGCATGCGTGTGCGTCTATGTGTGCGCGTGCATGCGTGTGCGTCTGTGTGTGCGCGTGCATGCGTGTGCGTCTATGTGTGCGCGTGCATGCGTGTGCGTCTGTGTGCGCGCGCGTGCGTAGTGTAGCGGCTAGCGCGCTGCGCTATGAACCTGGCGACCCGGGTTCGATTCCCGCTCACGGCCAACAACAGTGAAGACTCTCTGAACCGGTCCTGGGCTTCCCTCAGGTAGACTCAGCATCAAATGAGTACCTGGTGCGATGTGTAAACATCGTCACTAGGGAGACAAAGGCAGCATGGTGTTGGCCTCCCGCACCCTCGTGTGCCGTGCCGGCCTTCATAGGTGCTTGCTAACAGCACTTGCCCCTTATAGTCTGTTAAGGCTACACGGGGGATCGTTGTCTGTGTTGCGTAGACACGTGGCCGTGACGCACGAGGTCCGCGTGAACGCCGTTCTCTCTCCGCGTGGTCGCGGGGATTTTGGGGGTCTCCGGTTTATCCCTCCACATTTACACTCTCACCACGCTGCTGCCTATAATGTCCACACGATAAGCCACTTTCCTTGGGCTATCATTTGTGATGGACAGGTCGCTTCTGAAAAACAGCTAAAAAGCTCAGTGCGCCTTACCTGGTAAGATAAAAAAATAGTTTAGTTTTAGTTTAGTTGAGAATGGCACGACGACATCATCCTGAGGATGAGTGTAGTTTGGGTTGTGTTGTTTGATCAGGTGTGAGAGCTCAAGGCACCAGGATAGAGTCTCATTTCCAAGGGTGACCTGGGTCAGCGACACAACAGAAGTGAATAATCAACACAGTTTGTACAAGGACAGTCAAATAAGCTTAGAGCAGAACAACCGCGTCACTGGAGAAATCTGATGACTGCACAGACACAATGTACACATCAATATTACATTTTATATATATTACATTTTCCTGAACTTGCGTTGGCTCGGTTGATTTAGTTTTAATTGCGTTGCTGTTGGAACATT